TAAATTTTATTTAATTTTATTAAATGGTAGGTGGGACTAATTAAATGGGAAAATATATTAATTGTTTTAATTTTTAAATATAAATAAAGTAAAATTAAGAATTAAAGTAATTTGTAAATTATTTAAAATTTAAAAAATCCACATAATCATCTTTTACATGATGGATTTTCCACCTAATATTGAAAATGTAAAATAGTCAATCACTTAGCAAAAAAATTAGCTACATCAACATTTAACTGATGGAAGGACGAAATTGAAAATTGAAGTTGAAGGACGTTTTTGGTACTTTCTGAAGTTTAAGGATGAATTGGTTCAAAAATAAAAGTCGAGGGATCAATTCAAATATTTAACCTAAAAAAATATGTTAGCCACGTCAGCATCACTATTCAATTAATCTTTAAATAGAAAAAGTTGAAAGTTGACATCCTTAAATAGAAAATGTTGAAAGTTGACATCCTTATTTAGAAACTGACAAAATTAACATCCTTATTTAGAAAAAAATTGAAAGTTGACATCCTTATTTAAAAATTGACAAACTTAACATCCTTAAATAAAAAAAAATATAAAGTTGGAATCCTTGTTTGCACATTTACTTTGATACTATAAGAAATTAGTTTCTTAGAATGTACTAGACCAATGTGGGTGAGTATCTTTAAGATTAGTCAGGGAGGGATTAGTCTAGAGGTGCATGGAAGTTGATTCAAGGATATTCTAATTGTCAATATTAAAAAAGAAAACTAATATCAACTTTTTTTCATTTTTTATGTAATTTAATAATTAAAAGATGTATTAATTACTAATAACTTAAATAATTTAATGGTAATTTTTTTCTGCTGGAAGTAAAAGTTTAAGTTGTAATACAAATGAAATAAAATAAAATATAAAAAAGAGCTATATTTTATTATACAATCAATATAAAAAATATATTAATTACATTCTTGACATGTGCTAAAGAACATAGATTAAAAAAATCGTTTGGTTAATAATGTGCTCTCTTGTTGGTTGAATATATTTAAACTACATGTGGGATAAAAAAGTGCAAAAAGAAAAAAAAAAGAGCATAATATTTTGCAATGTAAAAGGTTTTGCCAATTTGAGGATTAGGCTGCACGAGGGAACATGACGATACCAAGAATTGTTATTTGGGCTGATGTGTTATAACCATGGGTACCTCGCACTAAAAAATGAGATTAAAAATAATTATTTTAATAAAAAGTTTAACACTTAACTGTGAAATGGACGACGTTACTCTAATGTTAGAAACGGTGTCAATCGAAGGATGACAATACAACGCTTTTCCAAAGTAGAGGGACGGCAACAATGTACTTTTGAAGAGTAGAGGGGCGAAAATGAACCTTTTTGGTGTACAGGGATGACAATGAACGAAAATGCATAGAACAAGGACTATAATTGGCTTTAACCTTTTTGGGAAAATGCTTGAGGCAAATTTTTTGTATTATTTTTTTTTATAATTTTAAATACTATTTAATAATTGATACTTTTTTCATAATAATATATATCAATTTAGAATTAAAATCTTCCAGCCAACACATGCTTTTTATTGGGCCACGTAAGCTTACTTTGGCTATGAAATGATTACCCCTCCTAAACCAACGTAACGTGGCCCAATGAAAATGGAAGTGTTGGTTCGAGACTGCAAATGGCGAGTGTTCATAGCCTTTCTCTTGTAAGTAAATTATCACTAGTGGACATAGACCAGATGTACGGAAAGCTGTCCTCAGTACGGAAGTCAGTTGTGGTCCTTTTTTTTAAATTAGTATATTTCCCCTGACCCTAATGGCGCTGTCATCCGTGTGCCTTAGCGTTAATTGGGGTAAATAAAAAAAAAATCAAAAAATAGATGAGTGGAATGCTAAACTCCACTAGGATAAAGTAAATCAACTTTTCTAAACTTTATTTTAAGGTGGTTTTATTAATTATATTTTTAATAATTAATTTTAATATATCAATTATCTTATTAAATACATATAATATTATTGATAAGAATAAAGTTAATTTTTTTAACTTTTTTATAAAGATTAAATAAATATAAAAAATATAATTAATACATCAAATACTTTTAAGATACACATATTAGATAAATTCTAAAGTATAGATAAATTCTAAAGTAATATGTAGCGCAGTAAGAGAAAAAAAAATGCAGTTTCAATTAGTGTAGTCAAAATTTGGGACAGGTTATTGAAATTGACTTAGATTAAGATTTATTAATAATCTAATAACTCTTGAGATTAATATATATATAAGATCTTAAAAAATTTAAATTTAAATTATTATCATCAGAAAATAAAATATAAACGATAATATCATATTTGATAGTTAAAT